TTTTATTGCGCTCCGGGGCGAGCCGGCTCCGCCCCCCCGGTGGCGGGCGGCCAATGCGGCTCCGGCAGCTCCGGGCCGCCCCCCACCCCCCCCCCCCCCCCCGCCTCCCCCCCCTCCCCCAAACTCGGCTTTGTTGTGCCCAGACCGGCGGACACGTCTGGCCCCCAGCCCCGCCCGCAGCTGCGCACCTGGCCCCCGGCCGCGCCCCGCAGCCCCCCTCCCCCCCGGCGCCCCCCGAGATCGCCCGAGGTTGGGGTGGCAGCCGCGGGGCGAGCAGCGCCCACGGGGCCCTGACTCAGCACTTGGGACTCGCAGCCCACCCCTCAACGGCACCAGGCGCCCGCCGACTGCCCCGTCCCCTCCGGCTTGGAGGCGAACGCTGCCTGATTCCCTTCCACCCCTGGGGTCCCTCGGCTAGGGATGGAGCCAAAGGGATGTGTGCGCTTCAGAGCAGGGGTCATTCCCCACCGCCCCCTGCCCGTGCCCCCCTTGGTAGATGGCCTCAGGAAGCTTCGTGAAGATTCCTGTCTCAAATGCAGGTCTTAGAATTTTAAGTGCGGTTGACCAGTTCAGATGGAGGGGGAGGGGGAGTGGTTACTATGAACAAAACAGGATTTTATATAAACTGGCCATATTTTCGACCAGCCAACAAGAGCCAGTGGGGGGTGGGCCTTGGAGTTCAGGACGCAGTAGGATTGGATGGAAAGCGTTTGCTGGGCTCTGCTCACAGTTTCCTCCCTTAGCCCACAAATGTGGGGCTGAAGGACTTTTCCCAAAACAGTTCTGTGTTCCAGGAAAGGCCGGGATCTTGGAGGCGCAGATGGCATGCAAACTGTGGCCACCAGGGTCCCTGTGTACCTGTCTGTCACCGAGGCTGCCCCCGAGCCCCTCTGCGGTTGGTGGTGGTGTTATACACAGGACCTCCCTCCTGCCCGCAGGACGTGTGTTATCTAGGAGGGCTGTAAGTGCAGGAAAAGGGCACAGTTAAGGAGTAATTGCTCATGCAACTGTGTGATGCTGACTTTCAATAGGAAACTGGAAAATACTGGAAGGCTGGGAGAAAATGGTGTCCCTCTGTTTGTGTGCACTTTGCAGCACACAACTGGGAGCAAAGATAAATAGGCAGAGTGGTTATTTTTAGCACCCTGACAAACCCAAAGTCACTTTTCCAGCTTTTGTTCGCATAAAATAGAATTGTGTCGTTTTGAGATGGTGTCCCATCTCTAGGCGTGAATTCAGAAAACTATAACATTTCCCCCCCCCATCCTTTCATTGTGACAGGCACAACCAAAATGCTGCTGAAATTTGCAGAATCCAAAATCGATTTGTCAGTTTATGAAACAGACAACCTAGGGGCGCCCTGTCTTTTAGGCAAGACGTACACCTGAGCAGTCACGTATAGGTGAGGGTGATGAGGATCCCAGAGGTAGGTTCGATGGCCGTGCGAGAGGGGAGCGGGGCCACACCAGCTGCCCCAGGGTGGAAATAAGAGACCCGGTCTTCCTTCCTCCCTTCTATCAACGGTGCTCACTGGAGCATCTACAGAGGGACACTGTCCTAGGAGCAGGGCATTCAGAAACCCACAGAACAGGCAAAAGTCCCATGGGCAGTGGGTGCAAAGACCCCTGAGCCAGCGAAGGAGGGGGAAGTGAGGGAAAAGGGGCCAGCTAGGACCCATTTGCTGTCAGAGGGGCTGGGAGGGGAGGGGACACGCCTTTTATTTTGAGTTTGGAGCTTTTGGAGGGTTTTTAGCAGATGGGCAGCGCAGGTACCTCTCTGAAAGGTTGGAGTGGGGGCAGAGGGCACCAGCAGATCTCAGACTCAGCAGCCCAGCCGCCTCGCGGTCCCACCATGCCCTCCGCACCCGCAGAATGGTGATTGAACCCCCTTCCTAACGGATTGCTCTGAATGGCTGACCTGGTCTCTAAAATCTGGTGCCTGTGCTAGCTGTTACTGAGAGCCACCCCACATCGAATGACTCTCATGCGGGCCCAGCAGCCGCCCCCCCAACCCCCATCTCCATCCACGTCACCGGCTCCAGCCACCTGACTGCCGCCTGATTGCCTCTCTGTTCCTCTTTGCAGCCTTGGCCAGCCTTCCAGGTGCTGTCTTCCAACTCAGGAAACTGAGCCCTCAGATGAGGAAGGTACTGAGGATAGGAGGAGATTAGAACCTGGCTGCTGATGTCAACAGAGTGATCTTTCACACGCTCCATCGCAAGAGCGCTCGCTCTGCTACGTGCTGTAGAACATCAACAGCCAGGTGAGGCTGCGCTCTGACCACGCCCCCAAGAAGGAGGACAGGGTCTGGATGGCCCACATCCATGCAGAGTGGGGAGGGAGGAGGCCCCGGGCCGCCGGTAGCTCCCTCTGTCACCTTTGCTCCTACCCAGCCTCCTCTACGTTGATATTGGGGGAGTGGGCCAGTCGGGGAGCCACGCAGGAGACCTTGGCCCATTCCCCCCGGGATCCATTCTGATTTTGCCTTCTGGACTTGGGCTCGTATCTGCCCCCAGAGCCTGACTCTGGGCTGAGTCTTAGGACAGACAGGGGGAAGCAGACCTGCCGGGCCAGCGGGGGAGGGGGGACTTCCGGGACCCTCAGACCACACTCGCGGGCCCACCACCGTCTACCAGAAACTCACAGCTTGCCCCTGCCTCCCTCACCAAGAGACTTTTCCAATGCATGGTCCTCCACAGCGGCTGCCCGTCCTACCCGTGTCGGGGCACACCCAGCAAACGTGTCCCGGGCTTGGCCTGACAGAGTAAACACTGTCGGGAGCCAGGAGGAAATGCCAATGGCTCCTCCCTCCTGCTCCTGTCAGGTAAACAGAGTCAGAGTGACCTCACGGGCCCCGGGCAGCAGGCCCAGGAGAGCCAGGCTCTGTCCACCCAGCACTGGGAGAGCCCTGGGAGTGCGTCTTCTCCGTAGACTCACTCTCTCAGTTTGGAGGAGATCTCCTGCCTCCTGAGCATGGAGTGTTCTCTCTGGAGAGGCAGCTGGAGCGGAGCTGAAGCCTCCACCTCCTTCCGGCAGGTTCCAGAGAGCCAGATGCTCCGCGTAACTTACAGGCATTACAGTTGGCCCCACATGCCCAGGAGGCTAGACACAGAACAGCGGCGATGTCTCGGGCAGCTCCCGGGTCGGTGGGGGGGGGGGGGGGTTGTCCGTACACCTGACCGTCTGGGAGGTTTCTGTGGTTGTGTGATGGGTGGCCCCCAGAGACGGATCAGGGTCACGATGGGCCCCTGTCCACTCTGGGCATCTGACTCATGACCATAGAAGGCAGGTGGTACTCCCCTCCCCCCCCCCCCCCCGCCACCCGCTGCATCCGCCCAGATATCTGTCCTCCGTGTTCCTTGGTGGGGCTGTTTACCGCAGGACATCCACGGTGACAAGAAGCTGAGTCCGACTGTGGCCAGAATATGGACTGTGGCTCTCTGCACAGTCAGCGTCTTAACGACCAGCAGCAGACACTATAAGGACGGTCCATGTTCCTATTTGCTCATTAATTAAATTATTAACCCTCTGCGGCCAGGGCTGACTTCTCTGCCTCGGTGACGCCAATCTCTGGGCCAGATTGATCTCCGCTGGGGGAGGGGCGCGCCCTGTGCGCGGTGGGGTGTTGAGCAACATCCCTCTTCTCCACCCCCTGAATGCCAAGGGTCCCCCCCCCCCCAGCACCAAGTTGTGACAACCAAACATGTCTGCAGACATTGCCTAATGTCCCTGGGTGGGACCAAAACCGTCTGGTTGATAACCACTAGCTTAGGGAAACCAATAAAACCTTCGGGCTCAAGAAAAGCAAAATGCAGAGCAGATCAACAAGGCTCCGTTTTTGTAGAGACACAGTCATGCTCTCGGGAGGTAGCTGTGCAGGACGGCGTATCCGTGTGTCCACATCGGCTCTCGGGGGACACAGGGAGGGCCAGGCGTATTTCAAGGGTTTGTTTTCTCCAAGCGTCCCTGAGAAAACAGTATGCACGGTGTTTCATTTACGTGAAATTACACATATGCGTGGACAGAGTATGGAAGAGGGTGTTGGCCAGAAAGTTCGTGGAGTTTCGCTAGGTGATGGGACCTGGTGACCCAGGATGAGCGTCGTATCCTGCCCCTGGGGCGAGGAAGGCAATTTTCAGATGCAGATTCGACGGGTATCTCCTGGCGCCGAAATCTGGATACTTTCTAGGCTCTCTGCCTGGCTCTCTCAAGGCTTGTCCTGGCTCCAGCTCCCCAAGCCAGGTACTTCGGTGATCCCACGCGGTCACCTACACTCCCTCAGCCCCTGCCTCCCCACGGGGTTTCCTTTGCTATTTTATGCCATCCTGCAGGACGGAGGCAAGGGCTTGGCCTCTCTCTCCTTCACTGTCTGCCTCCTCCCAGGCAGGCGCCCCGTGGGGAAAGTCAGTCGGAGCCCAGGCACCCACCTTGCACGCCTGCCTGGATGCCGGCCTTGCCCGCCCGCCCGCCTGCTCCGCAGGGCACAGGTTCCACAGGCCTGGATGCCGTCCCAACACCGCCTGCCCGTGCTGCTCTGATCCAGTCTAGAGTAACTCCAGAGAGAGAGAGGGAGGGTGTGAGGGAGGCTGTTGCTTTGTGAGCAGGCAGCCCGTGAAGTCACTGGCCACCCCTGAGCCGTCTGGGAGCAGCGATCACACTCCCGTCCGCCCCCCCCCCCCCCCCCCCGGGGAGGCGGGCTGACGCCACACCACCGTGTCCCCTGGGCCGAAGCCTTCGCGGACCTCGTCCCACCCGGATCCTGAGCCGGCACCGCCTCTCCGCACGGTGGCCTTGACGCAGAAGGGTCTCCCGGCCCGCGAGGCACGGCGGGGGCAGGCCCCCAGCGTGGGCTCCCCTCCGACCCACACTCTGACTCTGTCGCCGCAAAACACAGAGCAGGGTGAACCCGACCAGAGCCGGCTCTCACGCTCTCACGCCGCCTGCTCTGTGCTCTCTCGTGCCCAAGCCCTTGCCTTTGGCCCTGGGCGTGTGTCATGTGCCTCCTTCACACGGGCGGGTCGGGGAGCAGGGCCAGCGAGCAGAGCGGAGACGGGAACACGGCACTGCTGCGTCCGCCCCTGGCCTGCTCCGGGAGGCAGCCTCAGCTGGCGGGGCCCGGGGACCAGGTGCTGGCAGGGAGCAGGGCAGCCGGAGTGGCGGGCCCAGCTCAGCAGGGGTGTGTTGAGACTGACTTCTGCTGGTTTCAGGTTCCCCTCCCTGGAAGCACGGGGAGTGGGGGGGGGGGCGGCTGGAGGCTCAGGTTTCCCCCCACCATCCTCTGCTTCTTTGGTGCTGGCGGTGATTGGCCGTGGCCATGATGTCATCGCCTAATCCAAACAGAAGGGGGGTTGGTGCTGGCTGGCGTCCCCGTGCTGAGTGCAGCAGTAAATTTCATTTCAAGGCTATGATTAGGACGGTGCCCAAGAATTTCCTTTCTCTCTCCTTCCCTCCCCTCCTCTCCCCTGGCCCTCTCTTCTCCGGGATGCTGAAGGAAGGTTCGCCCGGTGGCCAGCACCGGTCCAGGCTCTTGCCGCCTTCCGTGAGGCTCCGTGACCAGCCCTGGCATGTACGGGCTCGGTCCCAGCCCCGAGACGGCACCCAGGGAGTATGGGGTGAGAATCCCTAAGGGCGCTCGTTCAACCTTGAGCTGAAACGTCAGAACAACAGAGAGAGCAGGGGTGGGGTGGCCCTGGTCATCAACGAAACGATCGGAAGACAGCAGAGCCATGAGAGGCAAGGAGAAACACAGCTCCTTAGAAAGTGAGTCGTTGGGTCCTTGTGGCCATCTCCAGATGGTTTCTGGAGTTTGGGTCTGGCCCACTGGCACCTTCAGCCCCTCCTTGGCTGGGGGGACCTGCCAGGCTCCACACCCTTTGGTGACTGCGTCTGACGCCAAAGGGACGGTCCAGCCCCCAGAGGCAGGTGGGACCATGGGAGCGGTTCCCCACCATATCCCCCTGCTTCCCTCCTCTTCCCGGGGACCCCAAGCTCTGTCCTAGGGTTCCTGGCCCCAGAGGCAAGCCTGAGAGTCAGCCACCTGAGTGTCCCCTGCATTCTCCAGCTGCCACTCAGCACACCCCCAACAAGTGTGACCTAGATGCCCACGGGGGAGGCGCTGGGGTCTGGGGGTGGTGATGTTCCTGCACCGAGCGCGCTGTGGGTCCTCGTCATTGCTCCCCTATCACATCGGACTGTGGTCTGACTCCTCGGGGACGTGGGGGGGGGGCGTCCGCGTTCCCCGACCCCCGACCTCCAGCAGACCCGAGCACTCCTTCCCCACCGAGCCTTGGTGTGGCCCAAGATCCCTCCTCGCTGTGCCCCAGGCCGCGGGCCCAGCCAGCCGAAGGCGGCGCCCAGTGGAGTTGCGTGGAGAATGGGTCGCCCTAAGAGGGAGCGGAGATGGACATGACCCGGTCACAGCTCACTGTCTGGCCTCCTTAGGCCCCTTGCGTGTCCCCTAGCAGGTTACTCGTCTTTGTGTCTGTCTTCCCCTCGACTCCCTGCTCCTTAAGGTTATTTGTTCGTTCGTTAAGCTCATTTGTTCGTTCATCGATTCAGTGAGGATGTGTTGGGCACCCGCCATCTGCCAGGCCTGTGCAGGTGCCGGGCGCCCAGAGGGAACAGACGTGGCCCGGTTCTTCCTCCAGCAGCAACCGGCCGTTAGCAGAAACGCGGACAGAAACAAGTACAAGCAGGTGCGGGTGCTTGATGGCACAGCAAGGGCATCGGCGGAGGGCGGGGGCAGGTGGTCTGGGACGCTCGCTGGGATAAACGAGACCTACAGGGTGGTCGGAGTTGTCCCATAGGGGGCAGGGGCGGTGCAGAGGACTCTCTTCCAGACGCAAGCCTGCTTGCATGAAGTCACATGGGCGGGAGGGCGTGGGGGGGGGCTCCGCACAGACCTGGGGTGGGAGCTGGGCCGGGGCTGTGGTCATGGCGGATCTGAAGGTACAAGGTGGGGGACAGACAGGCAGCAGCCGTCGGTGGTCACTCACTGCGGAGAATGATTGGAAACACATGTCCCGCCGAGAGAGCGCACATTTATTACTCAGAGCCGAGGGTTCTTGGACCACAAGGGAGTCAACAGGGAGAGGCGTGGGGAGGGGGCATGGCTGGCAGCGGGCCGTGGGGAGGGGCTCGGGGCTCCCTTCCTGGCGGGACTCGGGGCTCGCTGTCTGCACCTTGACATCCTTTGCAAGACCGCTTCTCCACCCTGGCCGTGTTCCTTCTTGCTACTTAAAAAAAAAACATTGTATTATGAAACCTCGCAAGCATACTCACATGGAGGGAGAGCCACCCATCCCCAGCTTCCAGAACCATCAGCTCATCAGCACCGGCCCCAGTGGGATCTTCTGAAGCAAATCCCAGATGTTGTAGTTCCTGGGTAAATACGGGAAGAGTTTTTTTTTTTTTTTTTTTTTTGGAAGGGTTATCTACTCTTCCTCTGTGTAGAGAAGCACGTTAGCTTTATTTCATGAGGGTTTATGTTAGGACCAGACTTTTTTTTTCTTCTCTTAGGGCAAAACCAGCTCCCCAGAGTCAGAACAATCAGGGTTTCTCTCCCATCACCGGCTGAGAGAAGCTTGTGCGCCATCGCTTAACCTCTCCCATCTCTGCTTCCTTGTTTGGAAAAACGGGACCCTCCTAGCAGTGCTGTCTAGAGGAGAGTGTAGGAGGGGGCCCAGGGCGTGGCAAGTCCTGGACGCCACTGGTGTCACGGGGCCAACAAAGAGCAGGCTGCATAAACTGGCAGGTGCTGGACCCAGGATTCAAACCCAAATCTGCCGCACTCCAAAATTTGCTACCTTTTTCTTTTCCACCAGCCATATGCCCAATCAGGGTCCACTGAACTAGGCTGCCCGGTGACTTCTGCTTGTGACCCGGAAGGCCTCTCTGCCCTGAACCCCCTCCCTTGGACACCAGGGTTGGTGGAGACCCAGGTAAGCACTTTCTTCAAGAGCTCAAGGCCCTTGGGAATGAGCAGAAAAAGGGGCTTTCCAGCCAGCGGGAGGGACAAGAGGAGGATGCCCTCCTCCTGGAGGCGGGTGAGGAAGGCTCTTCCCACCTGGGGAAGCCCAGGTGCCCTAGTGAAACCGTCTGGATCTTTGGGCTTTAAGGAATAAATATCCAGGTGGGATGTTTAGCCAAAGTGGGCTTTATTGGAAGGAAGCAGAGAACGCGGTGAGACTGACAGGTGCAGCTGTGCATCCGGGACCTGAGAGCCCCCAGGGCTCCTTCCCCCTTCCTCCTCTTGCTCCCCTGGGTGACTCAGCTCGGCCCCTCGCCTCTCCCTGGCTCTCCTGGTTCGGCTGCTCCCCTACAACCTGCCGGCCCTTTGGTTCAAAGCCTGTCATCCAGTTCATTCTCTGCTAGGGTCCCATTCTTATCAGCGTGGATCTGACCGGCCAGCCAGGGTCAGGCAGCTGGACAGGGCCTAGATCTGAAGGACAGGCCTGCTCAGAAGGGGAGTGGGAACAGCCCCTCCAAGAGGGAGGGAAGGCAGGGCCCCCACAAGGAGACACTCGGGTGGGGAGGGGGACATGAGGCCCTTGACTCCCTGCCTGGGAGGCCCTCATACCCTTGAACCCTGTGGCAGAGGGAAAAGGCATTCAGGGGGTGGGCTTCTGGAAGGCCAGACGCCAACCCCCTGGCATGGTGGCCTGGGAGAGGTTTGGTCTGCCCGAAGGGCGCCGTGGGGCCTTGGGACGTCTCAGAACCTGATGGGGGGAGAGAACCTTACTCAAGCTGGATGAGGTCCAAACCCTGGCCTTGCCCGTGGCCACAGCCCCTGGGGCAGCTGTGGAGGCCAGCAGCTGGCCCAGGCTCGGACGTCGCCTGAAAGGCATGTCCGGGGCTGCTACTCCCTAATCGGCTGCCAAAGAAAATATTTTCTGCAGGTTCCTTGTGAGCTGAGAATGAAAACACAGCACCCGGCAGGGCGGGTTGGGGGTGGGCCTGAAAGGCCTGGCTTTCTCTGAGGGTCCGGAAGACACTGGGGGATGGCGTCACTCAGGCACAGCTGGACGGCCAGGCCTGGAGGCCCAGGGGGTGGGGCAGGTGAGCAGAGACTCCGAGGGTGGGGAGCGCCCAGGACCGGGGCAGAAAATGGGACTGTTGGAAAAGTTGTGTGCTCTAAAAAGGCCAAGACGACATGACTCAGGCTGAACCTAAAAATTCCAGGGAGGAGGGCACTCGACAGGACTTCTTGCAGGGGGGGGGGTTCCTGCAGGAACTGTGGCTTCAACAAAACAGAACAAGCATAACAACTTCTTTATTTATTTATTTATTTTTTATTTATTTATTTTTTCCAACGTTTATTTTTATTTTTGGGACAGAGAGAGACAGAGCATGAACGGGGGAGGGGCAGAGAGAGAGAGAGAGACACAGAATCGGAAGCAGGCTCCAGGCTCCGAGCCATCAGCCCAGAGCCCGACGCGGGGCTCGAACTCACGGACCGCGAGATCGTGACCCGGCTGAAGTCGGACGCTTCACCGACTGCGCCACCCAGGCGCCCCAAGCATAACAACTTCTAACAGGCCGAGGCTTCAAAGTTCAGATGAACAGAAAGAAAAAATACACCAAGTCGTAGGATCGGAAAGAAACACTGTTCATATTTGGGCATCTGGCATCCATTTCTAAAGAGTGCGTGTGTGCGTGCGTGTGTATGTTTTCATACATAGAGGAACACATGGAGAGCAAGTGATGTTGCATTTTCTATTTCATAGCTTGCTTACTGTAAACCCGGGGAAGGTATCGCGAACATCTTTTGGTGCCATCAAATGGCTTCCCGCAGCATCAGTTCTAACATCTGCATGGCATTCTGGTGTAGACTGTCCCCGGGAGGCAGGAAGAAGTTTCCAGGGGCAGCTCCAGGCTTCATGGTCCTTATAGCTCCCGGTCCCAAAGAGGAAGCAGGTGGCCTCAGCCGTTGCTATGGCAAAAGACCCAAGGAAGGCTCTGATTGGCCAGGCTTGGAGCCTGTGCCCATCCTTGAGCCAATCACTGTAGCCAGCCACAGAACCAATCACTGTAGCCACTGTAGCCAGCCTTGAGCCAGCCACTGTAGCCGTGACTGGCCAGGCCTGAACCACGTGCCCATCCTGTAGCCAGGCGGGGGGTGAGGGAAAGGATGCTTAGCAGACAGAAAGCATAGAGCTCCCCCCGCCCCCCGACGGCCGACCAAAGGGCCAAGAGACGTGGTCCTTATCCGGAAGAGGCTTATAGTTCGAGGAGACCCATAAACACACAGGACCCACCGAAACAAGGGGTAAATGCCCAAATGCCCAATAGCAGGGGAGGTTGCAGGTTGCAGAGCAGACCTGTGTCGGGGTCCTCCTTCCACCAGGACGTTGGCCAATCTCCTCACTTCTCCGGACTCGGGTGTCCTCATCCGTAACACGGGAACGATGGCCTGTGCCGCACCCGTCGGGGTACGGGGAGACCGGCCCTCGCGGGCACGAGCGAGAGTGCAGTCTGGAGCCTGGCACGTAGCGCGGGCTGGGTAGGTGGGAGTTAGCGGGGCTGGAGAAGTGCCTGGAGAAGCTTCGGTGTGCAGGGTGGGTTCGTTGTAACGAGAGGTGGAAACAACCCCCAGTGTCTGTCACTGTGATGGCCGGATAGGGACGTGGGTACCCGTAACGTGGATACTATGTGGCCACAGAAAAGCACACAGCACTGACTCCTGCTACGACGGGGATGAGCCTCAAAACCGTGCAAGGAGCCGGCCGCACACACGGCCACGTACTGCACGATTCCCTCCACCCGACGGGTAAGCCTGTAGAGACCGAGTCCGTTAGGGCTGCAGGGCTCCGAGGGGAGGGGAGGGGAAGACGGCGGGGACCGGCTAAGGGCACAGGTTTTCTTTCGGAAATGATGGAAATGTTTTAGTTTTTAAAAATTTTTTAAATGCTTATTTTTGAGAGAGAGAGAGAGAGAGAGACAGAGCATGAGCGGGGGAGGGGCAGAGAGAGGGACACACAGAATCCGAAGCAGATTCCAGGCTCTGAGCCGTCAGCACAGAGCCCGACGCGGGGCTGGAACCCATGAACCGGAGATCACGATCGTGAGCCGACGTCAGACGCTTAAGCGGCTGAGCCCCCCAGGTGCCCGCGTGAAAATGTTTTAAGGTGAACCGTGGAGGCGGTTGGAGATCTGTGAATATCGCTGTCAATCATGCAGCCGTGCCCTTCCAAGGGATGAATTACACGGCATCCGGATCGTGCGTCAGTAACCGTCAAAAAGGAAGGAGAAAGGGGTTTGAATAGTGGGGTTTGGGCCAGGGCGAGGGGAGGGCCTGCCCGAGGCGGAGAGGGGAGCCAGCCTGACTTGTGGGCAGGACGTGGCGAGCTCAGGCTGGCAGGGGCAGAGGGCACCCAGGGAGAGGCTGGCGGGGAGGCTGAGGCGGAGGGCGGGGTGGGGGGCCAGCAGGAGGCCGCTGGTGAGAGGAGCCGGGGTTCCGGCTTCTCCCTCAGGCCACAGTGTCCGGACACACGGGGACAGCTCCTCAGGCTCGCCAGGGGCACGTTGGGCACAAGACGGGGCGGGGCGGGATAAGGGCAAGGTTCGAGCCGTGTGCTCCCGGGGAAGAGAGGTTTGGCAACACCCGGTACTTTGCTTGCTTGGGAGCCACACTCGTGCACGGTGATCTGAGCAGCAAGGCACGAGTCTGCTGGCGTGGCTCCTGGCCTCGGACCCCAGGCTGGGAGTCGTGGGCAGCCGGGAGGAGAACAGGAGGGGAGCTTGACTCCTCGTTGGAGGCTGGCAAAGGCAGAGATCCGCTGGCGGGAGAGCAAACCAAATCAAAGCCGCGGAAGACGGGGGAGGGGCGGGAAAAGCGGGGGGAGTCAAGCACATGGGGTGGGAGCGGGTGAGGATGTGGGGACTCCGCGGGGGGCGGGGGGGGGGGCGGCTGCCACGGGCACTGTGCAAAGCGGGCTGGGCAAGGTGCCGGGGCCCTCCTGAGGCCTGAGTGTAATACCTTCATTAAATCTGCAGTATTCGTCGTTTTCACGGAACCGAGCTTAGGTCTTAGGGTAAGTTTAGTTTTACGGGAAATTGAGCAGAGAGCGCGGGGTTCCCTGCTGTTATCACCTGACGCAGTGTGACACATGGGTCTCCTGGGACGCTGTGACAAACACGCCCCAGACCGTGCCGGGCGGCTCCCGCCGCAAACAGCTGTCTCACACGTCCGGAGGCTGGATGCCTGACACTGGGGGGCCGGCGGTGGCCGAAGGGGCGAGGGAGCCCTCAGGGGTCTCCCTTACGAGGGCACTAACCCCTCATGAGGCTGTCCCCTCATGACCTGCCCCCCCCCCCCCCCCCCGCCAAAGGACCCACCTCCTAACACCATCTCGTTGCGGGGGTAGGATTTCAACGTGAATTTGGGGGGCGCACACATATTTGACTTGATGGCTCGATTGAACCGGTATTGATTATCTTCTTTGTTTTTAATTGTTTTCGATGTTCATTTATTTTTGAAGGGGGGGGGCAGAGCATCTCAAGTGTGGGCTCCATGCTGTCAGCACAGAGTCGAACATGGGGCTTGAACTCATGAACCACCTGATCATGACCTAATCTGAAGGCGGACCCTTAGCTGACTAAACCCAGGTGACCCCCTCTGTGTGACAGCACCCTCCCCCGTGCGGGGGGACAAGAGCACCTCCGGGGGAGCGTGGAGGGAAACGGGCTGGGTCTGGGCCACGCTCCCGACGCCGCTGAGATCCTCCGTCCTCCCGACCCTCGGCCGCACCGCCACGAGGGACGGAGAACGAGCCACGAACCCGCTGATGGCCCCCGGGGCCGCAGGAAGCGCTGGGCTCGGTGGGCTCGCGAGCCCTGTGGCCCGGAAGTCTCCCCCAGTGTCCTCATCTGCACGGATGCAGTGAGATAATGGGGGGGTGGGGGACGGGGGTTGATGCGGAGGCCTGTGGCCCGAGGGACGGGCGGCCCTGATGACTCCAGTGACCCATGACAGGAAGGCATCTACGCGAGGCTGGTGTGCTAGCGGCAAGTCCCGAGCAGGGTGTGACGATCTCGAACGGCAGAGAGTCCCGGGGCCACCCAAGTTCCAGCCGTTCTCAGACGCGTGACCCCACAACCCGCCTCCCCAGGCCCACCGCGGCCCTCGTCCCGTCCTCACGTGCACGGAGCCGCACGCGAGACGGGCAGCTCACCCACTTGTGCTGGGGGCTCGGGGCTGAAGCCTCTGCTGATCTTTGGGCGCCTTGGGGCGGGGGGCTCAGCCGGTCCAGCGTCCGACTGCGGCTCAGGTCACGATCTCTCGGTCTGTGAGTTCGAGCCCCG